CGATTGCCTTCCTTATCCCTAGCCAACCAGACCGTTGATAAGAACACGTATATACCTATATTTTCCTCAACAACTCCTTAAACACTATATATTCCTCTTGAAAACACGATCTTTTATGAGAACTATATATATAGATTATATATATATAACATGATATTCCCCTTCAAAATCGTTCCACATGGTCTGCGTCTGCAACTTTGACGTCTGGTTGGATCAGTGGATCCATTGTTTCGCTCCCGCCCCCACCTGGCACTTGTGCACCTGCTCGAAAGGAGCTCCCGACCCAGCGCGCCTTAGGAGCTGGTTCGAAGAAGGGCACTCAACTCACATGGGGAAGTCGATGTTTAAGCAAAACAGATACGTTTTTTAAGCAAAAAGACTTAGTCCATCACAAGATGGAGGATGAATGGCTCTCTACCCCGTGTAGCTTTTTCACCTTCCCGTTGCTGAAAGCGGCTCCTTCCAGAAAGCGGCTTTCCCCAAGGCTGATCAACAGTCTGTTTCGCCTTGCGCGACTCAGTCAATACTCTGAGCTGGAAAATTATGAAGCAGGATGCAGCTCCAACACAGGATCCACCAAAGTCTTTCATTGGCCTCACCTGCCGGATGGGAAGTACCTTGCCATTATGGCGCTGCTTCACAACATCCTTGATCCCCGTGGATGTCGTGTCTGGGCGCGTCTGTCAAATAAACCAAATGAAAGCTTCATGAACACCAGGAGAAAGTGAAGCTCAATCGTCCCCTGGTGTCAGGTCCCATTTGATCCCATTTGCATCGTTATTTCGGCGCCCAGGGGCTGATGATACCACGCGATCTCGTGCAACGCTCCCCTGGTGGCCTCTCCGGGTCGGCGGGTGCCATTTCCTCGGTCTTTCAGTGCCACCTCTGGACGGACACACTCGGACAGCCAAGCTGGTGAAGCCAACCTGGATGTTTTTTCAGACCTCTCAAGTCAACATTCACCGGCAACATGGCAGTGGAGAAAGTGAGTTTCGATCCCACTCTTGTCTGATCACTGATCATCTACAGTATTCGTGCACACAAAAACCATGACCTGGACACCTTGGTGTCGCGACAAGACAATTTCATTAGATTTGTATCTCAACTTAACAAACTCACAGAAACATCAGAAACTGAAGATGGCCGCGCTGTTTGTCCTTGTTTGCGAGTGATCTGCATGAATCCACATACGAAGTGGTCCCAAACGCATTCGTTCAGACCACCCGCGCTTTCGCGCGCGCGAAGCGATCGCCATCGACCCACTCTTCTTCCACCAAGCGTCTCGGCACACGGCCTGGGTGAAACAAACACCAGCACATAGGGGTTGCCAGCGCATCTCTGTTCGAGAAAAAGCATAAACCCGTGTCTGGTCTATTGAGTGAACACATTCGTGTTCTGCTTTTTTTCCCGTGACAGGCGCATAACCACTGTCATGGCTCTGTATCGTCTGGCTAACAATGATTGAACTAGTGCCACGTCTGCTCAGATGCGAAACCTTGAAAGTCTGATGGTTCAACCACTGATGCCCGGCCGCACTATCTCAGCCATTACTACTACTTCTGGATTTCGGCTGCTTGGCGGGGCAGAATCTTTCCTGAAGAAGAGGTGTCCATCGCATGGCAGGTTCTGGTTGGTCAGCTCAACTGATTTCAGAGTGGAAGATGCAACAAAACACAAGAGTATGCAAAAGGCGTGGCACCTTTTCTTGACACAAAAAACGACCGCTGTTCCACATTTGCCGATGGGACGTTCTCCTGCCAACCAGTACTTGTGGCTTATTGTGACGGGTGATTGTCTGTCAGGCACCACAGTTGGAGAGCCTCATTTGAGCTGGCCTGGAACTTAGGAACCCTGGGCGCTGTTGCGTGCTGTGTTTTGGTGCTTTATTCTTATTGTGCATGGAAGTGGTGCTGAAACTCCGGGCACTGTGCGGGGCGGTGTGCAAACCCGGAGATCTGGAATTCTGGATGCATATTGTAAACTCTTGATTAATAACCCCTCCCATTTGAATTACATCTCTTCACATGGGGGGGCTCATTAAGATCAAGAGTCTACAGTCTACATGACATGTATTTGGAGTGTGTCTTGTGTTCTTGTGGGAAAACCGAGCAACGATAACAGCACTTTGGTCTGAAGATGTGTTTGTGGGGGGACTTCAGCTGCCAGTCTTCCGTTGGGCAGATGGACCGGCAAGTCAGTGGACTTCATTGTCTGTACAGAACCAGCCAAGGATCAGCATCTAAGACCAGGGCAAAACCGTTGTGGTAGCCATGCCCCAAAAACAATCTTCGCTCACCAAAGCTCGAAAAAAAGTGAAAACCGATGAGAGTGGCGAGTCTCGTTTTTGTGAGGGACTTGTCCGTGATACAGACAAATCGCATATGGATACCGCCTTGCAAGAAACATACTCTTTACAGCAATTTAAGCTTTGCTGTGCTTTGCTTCAATTAGCGGAGTGTGTGGTGCAGTGAACCATGTCAGAACCGGTCCTCTTCATGGTTCAAGCGGTGGCTCGTGGCGACCGAATTGAATTGTGGGTCAGACCTTGAAAACACGATGGTTCCTTCCACATTTGCGCAGAACATCGCAGAAATGCATCTGCTCAGTGTTCTCACAGTGTTCTTCGAGCTGGTATTGTTCGATTTGTTTGATGAGGTCTTAGACTTGCGTTGTGAACTCCCGTGCCATGTGGCACGTACTGGATCTAAAACATGATCGGCAGTCGCTGTTGTTTTGTGTTCTATCGTTTTTATTGTTTTGCTGTTCATTCCTATTATTGATTCCTGGTCCGAGTGTCTTTGATCTCTGTGTTTCCTTCTTTTGATGCCTCTCCCTAGGATGCGAGGATCCACGTTCCATACCCCACACAGGACTCGAAACACAGGGCGCCGGAAACATCAACAAGTCTTCCTCACTCTGTTTCTTAGAGCAGGCTCCCACATATAGAAGAAATATGTAGACATGCAGTCAGAAATCCCGGCCTTCAAGCAAGCCAGCCACGGTCTTGAGGTAGGACTGGATGTATCCTTAGAGTTTATTCATGGGCTCGTGCTTAGCACCAATTCCATTGTAGAAAAAGGGCCAATCCAAACAACATGGAATGATCATCTCCACAACAGGCCCATTTCATCTTGGCCTTCCCCTCCCAACATCCTGACCCCCCCACTGTTCGACTGCCACCCTTCGACGTTCCAAGAAAAAACACGCTTGGACGTGGCAAAAATGTCAAAGAAACGAAAAAACAATCTAGACCCCCTGATGGCCCGAAAGTTCTAAGTAAAGCGTGCACGAGAATAGAGTTTTTTCTCTGAGCGCACGGAGCTGCTTTGGCCGCTCATTTCCTTTGAACCATGTCACACCCAGCCTCACACAAACACACTCGCAAAGCCGCATGGCTGGCACAGCGACATCACCGACGGACTTTGGCCACACGGTGTGCCACACACTACATACAACCATGTCACACCCAGTATACACCGCCACTCCACCGGCTCCCCAGCGACGTTCGCCGCTGGCTTGCGGCAGCGTGCTTTCCTCCCCCCAATTCGGACGGACTCACGCAAACACACGTTTCACCGACGCCACGCAAAAACGCATGGGAAAGCGGCATCACAGACGGACTTTGCCCACACGGTCAAGTCAAGTCTCTTGCAAGTGCCAAAACTTGGTGAAATCTCTTGCGAATGGTAAAACTTGGTCAAGTCTCTCGCAAGTGCTAGAGCTAAAGCCTGAGCACAAGTGCTAAAGCTTAAACATGCTTAAACCCTGAGCCAGACCCCTTCGACCAAAGACGGGAAACGAAGCGGACGAATTTCCAAGTCTCCTTGCTTGAGCTTGTGGTATTCCCGTTGCGCTTCGAAGGTCGCCGGCTCTCCTCGATGTCGCGAAGTCGTAGCCGCGAAGCAGCGAAGTCTCCGTTGTTTCGGCGCGGGTGTTGTCTTAGAGACATGTCATTTAAAACAAACAAGCACAAGACTTTGAGAAAGAACTTGACGGCCAAAAAAATGGAATTGATGTTCAGTGGCCATGGGGCCATGGATTCTGCAATACGGGGCCAATCTTCACAGTAGAGAAGATTCGGCTACAGCTCTCCGTGGGTCTCTAAATGTCTCTAAGTTGATGGCCTCATATGGCCTCAAGAGAGGTACTGCCTGCGATTTGGGAGGTGAAATAGTTCTCCATCAGGTGTCTTCATCTTGAAGGGACTGAAAGGGACGTCCAGGAACACGAGAAATGAGAAATCCTATCGCAGAACTGGCTCAGACAGGGAGAGCTTTCAACAGTCTTCGTTCGCTCTCCTCTTGCTGAAAGTGATCCAAGTCTCGGCAGCATCTGGCTTGCAGCTTCTGGTAGAGAACCAAGGCTGCATTGGCCTGTTGGAGGGTGATACGGTACTAGACCGTCGGACCAAACCAAGCCCATGACTTTTGAAAACCCAAGGGATCATCTCATGTTCAACAAAGCCGCCCTGATCTTGTCTTTGAAGGGGCCCCACACTATCACAGCTGCAGATTAGAGCCTTGCGCGGGTCTCTTGAGCTGGCGGCTTAGGGAGCTGCACGCCTCCGATTCTCGCTTTAAGACGCCATTGCAGCCCAGTCAGCTCCCAAAGTCGACACCAACTCCCCAAGTCGTCTGGCCACATCTGGCTACCCTTCCAGTATCTTGCGCCTCCCTGTGGCGTTCCCGAACGGGTCAAGTCGTCTGCGGACCGGCCTGGCCAGCGGACTGCATGGACCTCGCGCGCGCAAAGTCCACGGTGTACAAATTCCAGCCCTCCAGCGCCATGCGCTCATGCAAGGCCTGAGTTCGGAGTCGAGTGTCGAGTCGTCCACATCTAGGGTGACATGAAGTTTGACTTTGGATGACGAAACGATCGAAGAAATGAATCTTCTTTGGAGATCCGCAGAACCGAAATGAATTTTCAGAGATCTAATCAGAGATGGAGGCTTCGGTTTCCTACCCGCAAACGTTCCAAAGCTCGCTCTACAGCCAAGTTGCATTCCCCACATATGAGTGAGTGTGTGCGTGTTCAAAATAAGAGTTAAACATCGACTACAAGTAGTTTGCCCCGGAGGTGGTGGTGTCTTACTGTCTTGCTTGGACCTGCCCATCCTACGTGAATCTACAAGGGCACGTGTTAAGTCACCCGGGCGTGTAAACGTGTAAAGTTACCCGGATTGCAAAAAGTCACTCCCTTTTACGTTGCATCACCATGGAAACATTTTACGGAAGTATGTTGTCGAAAACTGTTGTGCATCAAGAACCTTTTTGTTGCCTCTGCACAAATAAGAAATAATAAGAACACATATTTATGCGGAAGTGTGTTGCTTTCTGGGCACTGAAACCCAATGAGAACGCAAGTGTGTCATGGAATCACATCCCCACAAACAAGTTTGGGCCGGTGCCGCACGAGCCTTTTCAAGCCCAACACGAGTGCCGAGTCCCTGGTACCACCTACCCAGTGCCCTTGTATGTTAGTTTTATCGCCACCTTGTAGTGGACAACGCCTTGCAGAACCTGACATGAATAATTTCTGAAGGATTATTTACAAGTTCTGGATGGCCTGTGTGTTTTGTTCAGGCGCAGGCTCATGTGACAAGCAACAAAGAATTCTACATAATTCCAACATGAACCTGAACATGGGAGCCTGAACAAGGTCCACGTTTATGGGGGGCACTACAGTGGACAGCGTTAGCATGCGCCTGACCCACCTTCACAAACTTTTGGACCCCTGCCAGTTTTGGTTCGTGTGTGGACTGTTAAGCGCTTTCTGGAGTCCCTCTCTGCGTCTGAAATAGTAATGCCCTCCACCCAGTAGCGTCCTTGCTCCTCGTAGCGATGGCCTCCATCCTAGTAGCGTCCTCGCTCCTAGTAGCAATGGTCTGCACCCAGCAGCGTCCTTGCTCCTGCTAGAATGCCCTCCACTAGCGTCCTTGCTCCTAGTAGTAATGGCCTCCACCCAGTAGCATCCTTGCTCCTAGTAGTAATGGCCTCCACCCTAGTAGCGTCCTTGCTCCTGGTAGAATGGCCTCCACCCTAGTAGCTTCTTGCTACTAGTAGAGATGGCCTCCACCCTAGTAGCGTCCTTGTACTGGCCTCCACCTTAGTTGCGTCCTTACTCCTAGTAGTAATGGCCTCCACCCTAGTAGCGTCCTTGCTCCTAGTAGTAATGGCCTCCACCCTAGCAGCTTCTTGTTGCTTGTGCCTCCACTCTAGTAGCATCCTTGCTCCTGTAGTAATGGCCTTCACCCTAGTAGCTTGGCGTCCTTGCTGCTAGTAGTCACCCTAGTAGCATGCTTGCTCCTAGTAGCGATGGCCTCCACCCTAGTAGCGTCCTTGCTCCTGTAGTAATGGCCTTCACCCTAGTAGCTTGGCGTCCTTGCTGCTAGTAGTAATGGCGTCCACCCTAGTAGCGTCCTTGCTCCTAGTAGTAATGGCCTCCACCCTAGTAGCATGCTTGCTCCTAGTAGCGATGGCCTCCACCCTAGTAGCGTCCTTGCTCCTAGTAGTTTTTGGCCTCCACCCTAGTAGCTTCTTGTTACTAGTAGCGATGTTTTCTACCCTAGTAGCGTCCTTGCTCCTAGTAGTAATGGCCTCCACCCTAGTAGCTTCTTGTTACTA